TACTTTACCTTGTTCATGATATTTTATCCTACACAGGTATTATATCCTCAAAGTGTTAGATGATACCAACCTACATACCTAAGCCAAACACCAAACATTCCAGGTGGCCTGCTCTTCCAGTTGTTTGATGAAGCAAGGCCCCTAAACAAAAGGGCTCTCTGTAAAGTACATCAGCTCTCTGAATCCATTCCCAAGATTATGTGATTTGGGAAAATATGATTTTATGTAGCATCTAATGTTTGTATCATGTAATGTACTTTTCTGGCAAATACTAGTATCTTCAGTTTGATGTACTTCACCACATGATAGAGCAAGACATTAGCCCAAAACCAAAGGGAAAAGAAGGAAGATCCCAGACTTTGATTTAGGACATTTTTATGCATGAGTGGTTTTACTGTCACAATGCATACCCTTTAACTGATAAGAGATTCCATGTGACATCAAAAATTAACCAACCATGCAGTTGCTGATGTCATTTGCTCTCTAAAGAGCTATTGGTTAAAGTCTTAAATTTTTCATTGGGGATAAAGTCTTTGTCCTTTCAAATGTTTCTCCATTACTTTTTTACTGCTTCCACTGGAGTATTTGTCAATGTGTGTGAGCCACGATGACACAAATTATTAGTTGTTTTCTTAATTCAAAACTAAAATGTTATATAGCTGAGAAAAGACTAAATTACATCTTAAACAAAGGAGAGAATTGGTTAAGAATCCTGCTGATGATGTTTTGATAATACTTCCATTCAGTTCTGCTCAAATTTTGTTATTTTACATATTCATATGGCCTTTTATCTCCAAAGTGCTATGTTATGTTTTGTTCTCAGTTATTATGATAACATGTTGCCCTTAAAGACAAATAAATACATGAACTAATTCACACCAAATTCAGGCAGATGATACAATATTATTGAATTATTTGACATAATATGATCCTTTTCCAAATCAAAGATATTGTTAAAAGGAGAAAACTGTTCTCTAAAAAATTCTTTATCATAAATCTTTTTCTCCCTGCAAATCCTTTTTTCTCTCTACAAAAGCAATCTGAATGGGGGTAAAAGAATACAAAACTTGACCTTTTGTGATCCCAGCATTAATGGGTCTGTTCATAATTCAATCTATGTGTGTGTGTGAGCATCCATGTGGAAACATAGAAGCCTGAGAGACATAAAACCTTTCCCTTTAAACATTATCTGACCTATCAGTCCCATTCACAAAAGAAGGCTTATGCATGCATATGCTGAAAAAGCGCACCATCTCATTGTGCAGCAGAAAGCCTACTCGTTCCACTCCTCATGCTCCATGGCAATGGAGCACGGAAGTGACACTTGTACAGAATTTGGGAGTGTAACAAATGAACAGAAGGTACCAAACAAGAATGAAATAGTCTGCTGAGGAAACAAACCAAACCTCTAAAATAAGGCAAGTGTGCTCATTGCATGGATTTTTATGTAAAGTGGAGCGATGTTGGACCACATCTCTATGATGTATGCATTCAATTCTTGAATTCAATTATGTTCTCAAGATGACTTGTAATCAGGACAACCTATTAAGGTCTTTATAATTTTTTATAGATCTTACATATTAAAGCTGTCTATTTGTGAAATACACATTGTTAAATATTGCCTGTCTGCTGCCAGGAACAAGTCTAAAGAACTCCTGGTTTTCGTAGTGGCTTCAGCTGTTGGGCTGAGTTCTCTATGGCTTTGAATCCACCCATGTTATTGAGAACTCCAGAGCACTTTGCACAAAACCACCATTTGAAGTCATCAAACAGAACAGTTGTTACTATTCTTGAAATATAGTCTTCAAAGAATACAGGATGGTCTCAAAGCAAGGAAAGCCTGCCAACCCCAATCCAACTTTATAGACAAGTGTGGTGACTCAAACTTGTAAATACTTGGGAGGCTGAGGCAGGATGATTGACATGAATTTAAGACCTCTGTGAAGTACATAGTGAGTTCCAAGCCAGCCTGGAGTTACAGTATGAGAAAGAATGGAGGGGCACTGGCAAGATGGTCCAGCAGACAAAAAGCATTTGCCACCAAGCCTCACAATCAGCACTTGATCGCCAGGACCTACATAGTGAAAACTTACAAGTTGTCATCTGACTTCCACTTGTGCACAAGCAATAGCCCTCCCGAACAGCAAACATATATATAAATATATACATGGAAGCAATGGCTAGCAATGTTTCAAATACACATCGACAGCTTTGACAAACTTTCCTTGTTTCCATAATGGGATGGGTGCTTCTTCCAAATCTTCCTGTCATGCATATTTAATCCAGTGTTGGTATCTACTTTTCAGACAACCTGGAATAACATACTTTTAAACTGACAATAATGAATTACAAATTTGCAAAGAACTTTAACATATACTTGTATCAAAGTATCCTTTGTAATATATGTAAAATTACTACTTCCAGTTTTGTTGGAATGAAACTATGTTGAATGAAAACCCATTTTAAAAGAAAAGTTCAGGCAGCAGAACAAGAGATAAACCTGAGATTTTATGACATTTAATTGTGATTTAAAAATAGTCATAGAATTTTATATTTGTAGAAACAAAAGCTGTGGTGCTGTGACTGTGGCTCAGTGGTGGAGCACTTGCCTGGGGTGCACAAAGCCCAGCATCATCAAAAAAGAAAGCTTAGAAAAAATCCAAGTAATTTTCCTTAAGTTTTCTCACTTCCCTTTTCCATTAGTATTTCACTTCTCTAAATGTGTAAGAGCTACGAGCTAAAATTTGACTTCACTTTTGCTAACCTGAACACTGGAATATACACATCTAAACCAATAGGATCACTTTCCAAGAAATCATTTAGCAATTACCCATGTGTTCAATTTTTCAAACAACAACAACAATAAAACAGTTTTGAGTTACACCTGATAAATTAAATATGCAACTAATTGAAGTTGTACTGGAAGAACATTAAAGCAAACAGTGTTAGACAAATACAAAATTACTAATAGAAATGCCAATATGCGTGTGTGAAAATATCACAATGAAACCCACTACTTTTATAATTAACAAATTAAGCTAATAAAAGCAATATCAAATAAACATAAAATTATGATGCCTTTGAGTAATTTTACATAAACTAGCAAAGGCAAGACTAAAGAGATGGATCAGTTGGGGAAGCACTTGTCATGCAGGCAGGACAATCTAAGTATGGATCTACAGTCAAGTCAGGTGTGGTAGTGTGCATCTGTAATCTCAACTCTCCTCCAGGGAGGCAAGGTGGAGGAAGTGAACCCCCAGAATCATGCAGGATAGCTGATATACACAGTAGCAAACAATGAAGACTATTCTCAAGCAAGGTGGAAGGTGGGGACCACTGCTGAAGGTTATTCCTCTAACTTCCACACACATGTCATAGACATATATATCATTCACACCTACAACCATGCACACACATACAGTGATTAAACACATAAGTCAAAGGGCAAACATAATTATAGCTAAGAAAACAATCTGTCAACAGTCTCTCCAACTCTGTTTAAACATGTAAAATATGTAGAAGAGTATCTTAGTTAGGGTTTCTATTGCTGTGATGAAACACATGACCAAAAAGCAAGTTGGGGAGGAAAGGGTTTCTTTGACTTACACTTTCAGATCATAGTCTATCATTGTAGGAAGTCAGGACAGGAACTCAAGCAGGACTGGAAACTGGAGGCAGGAGCTGATGCAGAGGCCATGGAGGGGAGCTGCTAACTTGCTGGTTCCCCTGGTTTGCTTAGCCTACTTTCTTATAGAACCACCAGCCCAGGGATGGAACCACCCACCATGGGCTGGGCACTCCCACATTGATCACTAGCTGATAAAATGCCTTACAGCTAGATTTCATGGCGGCATTTCCTCAACGGAGGCTCCTTCCTCTCTGTTGTCTCTAGCTTGTGTCAAGTTGACATATAAAACCACTCAGTACAAGGAAGAATTGTTTTCAATTTATAGTTAGCAACCTAGTCATTTGCCTTATAACTATTCAGTGGAAAGAGTCAAAAACTATAGCTTAAATCTATACAGTTGTTACTCATTGCATTTTAGGAAATAGTCACATTTATGTTTTATAAAATATTCCTTACAGAGTATTCTAAACAATGCTTACAATGTCATCTTTAATACTGCATATATATATGTCTGTAACCATGCAGAAAATTTGATCATGTTATGAAATATATTGTCAGAAATGATGATACAGTCATTAAGATTAAAATAATACTAAAACCTTAAACTTTGGATAGATTACTTTGACCAATGTTCAAATTAGTCAAATTTATACAGAAAGTTTATTCTTTAAATGTATACATTATCTTACATTTTAAGTTGGTTATGAATTTATTTTTCACAGAGCAAATCCATGCCCACTCCTCTCAAAGATTAAATACTTTTACATTCCAGGAAGCAACATGAAAATCATTTTCCTTCTTTGTCTGGCACCAATTTTGTGTTATTATTTCATTTATGGAATACGCTGTCAACTTCCCAGCATGGGTTTTGGAGAGGAGGTCTGATTTAATAGTTCTTCATTACAATATTGCCGGCAGAATCTGATGATTAGCCCTCTTAGGCTTGACATTTGTAAACTACTGCTTTCCCTTGATAGACGATAACTTCGTTAGCATTTCTAAAATTCAGAGCAATGATTCTTTCCTTAGATGTTAGTTAATAAAAGCAAAATTTAGAGTTATCAAAAATTTGAAGGCTCTTTCACACTTCCCAATGCAGGATGTTTCAAACCTGATTTTCAAGTAGTATGTAATAACTTGTAAATTTTCTGGGGAAACAGTCATGATTTTTCAGAAAATTGTGATTGATTTGTTCTTTCAGGCATACATTATCTTTCAGGGTGCCTACACCAATAAAATAATTACCAGTTTTGAACAGCCTTTTTCCCTGCTCTCAGAATATAAGAATTAACAAGAGTTGATTTACTATAATATTAATTTCAAAATCACTGCACATTTTCATTTTGATATCATTAGCAAAATAATTCCTTACATCTTCTCTTGACTTCTTGTATTCCTCTGGTGTCATGGAAAGAATGGCCTTTGCTGTTATCTTGGCTTTCTGTTCATTCAGGACCAAGTCCAACTAAAAGGTACAAATAATCAACATGAATCTTTGCCAATTAGCAGCAACAATTCAAACAACTAATTTTTTTATTAAAGTTGATGTACTTACATGAAGAAAACTTTATTTAGATTAAGTAAAGAGGTGATTTTTTAATAGTTAAAACACTTAACATACTGAGTTTTTTTTAACTTTCTTTTTAAAATATACAACCTGGTAGGGAGGGAAATTCCTTAGTTGATATTGCCAATTAATCAATTAGACATAGGTTAAAATTGTTTAAAGAATTTTAAAATGAATTTACAACTTTTAAAATTAGGTTGAACTCTTCTATCAAAAAATTTTTAATGTAGGGAAGATAATAAGGTGGCTGCCACTATGTCAGAATAGAAGTCAAGGAGCACAACAAAAGCACAACAAACAATTCATTCATACACTCCACTGTGCTAAAATTATTTCCAATATTTTATAACAGAAGCCGGTGTCTCTACACAGCTTGGCAGTTACCTCCAACTGGCTCCATTCATACAGTCACAGCAAACTCTTCTCCTACTATTTCCAGCCCTTGAGTTATAAAATTATGAATTTGATTCATTTCATATTCTTATAAATAATTGTATTGAAATCAAATACTATTTTCATCAAAGGGAGAAATTAACTCACAAAATTAAGATTCATTCAACAGGGTGACACCATTAGAAAAAAAACAGAACAAGAGTTTGATAAGGAGTCCTCTGAAGTCAAATATTTAACAACTTCATTTTTTGAGATAGTGCCTCATGTAGCTATAGCTAGTCTGGAACTCACTTTGCAGACCAGGCTGGCCTCAAACTCACAGAGATTTCCCTGCCTCCTGAGCATTGGAATTAAAGCCGGGTGCTACCAGGACTGGCTCTCCTCCTCCCACCGCTGGAATACTTAACAATTCTTAAGTGATGAATCTAAGCTAATAATAAACAGTGAAGACAGGTTTTTTTTCAGTTTTTTATGTGTTCATGTTTCTATCATATGTAAGTTTTCTCAAGCATATGCCTAACAAATCATGTTTGGCAACATGAATCATTAACTCCCCATGCCTAAGGATCTATAACTCCTATACTGGATATAAACATGAAACATAGGTTCAACATGCCCTCTTCAGTCTAGCCATTGAGATATATTCAAGAATTACCAAGCTGTGAACACTTTATCCAATGATTGGTGATGCAGCTAAGTCCACAATTATCTGATTGAGCAGAGAGGAGTGGTCCAGGAATCTTAAGGCTATCTGATGCTCACCTAAATAAGGAGTTGATGAATGTTTCTCTAAAGGACTTGTTAGCAGGTTAGACAGAGAGACAGAGAGACAAAGAGAGAGACAGAGAGAGAGACAGAGAGAGAGAGCATTCAGAGCAGCCTGCTTTAAGGGAAGTAGAATGAACAGAAACAGAGGAGGAATGAAACTCTTTGGTACCATGCAGAGAGGTAGGAGTCTAATGAGGTTCCCAGGGCCATGACATTTGCAACAGCAGGAAAGTAACTTTCCCAAAGGTGAGATTCTTTTCTCCTTACAGCATTATAGTTGTGAAGTAAATCACCTCATTTTCAATATCCAACTTCAAATAAACACTGTACAAATAAATCTATTCATGCAGAGGAAACATACCAACATCATTAAATTAAACATAGCGTAATGCCAGATAGGGTGCATTTGATAAAATGTGAGAATGAGCATATGGGATTTTTACTGGAAACAGAGAAGCCATTCCAAGAGAAGTATGTTTTAATTTAACCATTTAAAGGAAATTATTAAAGAGCTAAATGGAGAGAGTAAAATTTCACCTGAGGTATTGCTGATAATGTAATGCTAATGGCATTTCTCTCAAAACCCAAGATATGACAATAATAGTTAGATTCTTCTCTCCTGCCACTGTTGATGAGACTACTCTATTTCTTCATTAAGATAAACAATAAAATAAAAAACTAGATGCCACCAATTTGCTGCCTTCTCTCAAATATGTAAAATAACTTGTTAATTAAGTTAAAATATATGGGACTTTTTCCTAATAAAGAAGACAGGATCTTCAAAAGTTGGAAAACAGAAACAATACTAAAATTATGTATAACTGGAAAAATCCCTGTCAAATAGAGTAAGGGGAAGCTCATCATGTTATAAGCACATAAATATAGGGGAAATTTCTCATATATTCATTGTACAATTCAGAATGTAACAAATTAATAGGAATGCACATTTTCCCAGGGTTTGTTGCTAAAATTTGAAATAAATAACAAAGCCATCCACTTGTAACCAGGCAAGGCTGGGCTCTTTCTGAGCTGGTGAGAACCAGTAGGAACAATCAAGAGTCTAGAGAACAGAGGACGAAAGGGAGAAAAGCTAATGGAAATGGTTTAAGGAAAAAGCCAGGTTAAATAAACAGGAAATCAAAACAAGATAAAATCATAGAAGGCATTTGAAGAATTAAGATCATATTCTATAAGGGGTCTGGAGATAGATGTTGGTTGAGAGTGCTTGCTTAGCATGAATTGGGCCCTGTGTGCAATCCCCAGTGATTTAAAAGAAAACAGAATAAGAAGAAGGAAAGGGTTCCTTAAAAATATGCCTGAGACAATAGAATCCAGTAAAATGATTTCCGTTATCTTTGGCTTTTCAGGGTATATTTTATTTACAACACTATGGGTTCAGATATCATTCCAGCACTAAAGACCTAAAAGTAACAGTTTAGTGATACAGAATTTGATATAAAACGTGGACTTTCTAATTGAAAACACTCTTAATTTTTGAAGGATTCTTCAAATGCCTGCAGGGCTCATGGAGCTCTCTTATGGACACCCTCCAATGGAAAGCAGGCTAAAGACCTCCTAGACAAATGTAACCTAAACAGTAGTGATCTTGTCTCCTAAACATCACTAATGGCTGACTGCCTTTCTGCAATATGCCTCTTAAGTATTCGGAAGTATGTTTACTAAAATCATAAAGATCCTGGAAAATTTTTGACATGATAGATAAAATGCATTTTACAAAAGAAATTAACTCTAAAACCGTCATTCTAGATTTAAATTATTAATACCAGTAGAAAAAAACACAATAATTCAAAGAAGCTGATATGTTCTCTCTACCTAATTCATGCTGACATTCCAGATAAGTTCCACCCAAAGGTAGAAAAGCCTATTAATGCAACTAAACTCTCATGTTCCTAAACTGTGGTTTTCCACATGGCTTTTGTATTTCAAAAGAGAAACTAAAGATCAAGGATGAAGTATACAATATGTGTTGTGTAGAACACTCTTAATAAACCAGCATGCTCCTGTAAGAAGACTGAACTCATCTAAGGTTTTCATCAGTAAATATTGATCCACTGCTACATTATTTGATCCATAGTTTACATGCGGATCAATATAGGCAATACGGTTTAGCATAAACAATAAGATAACCACCCTTCATATATATTGACAAGCTTCCCAATGGTCTGTTAATATACAAAAGACTGGGACAAATTACTTATTTATATATACAAAACATGGTTATAAAGGACAGCTGCAGGTATTTTTTTTGGAAAGTGCATTTTAATAAGGTCCTATTCAGTTATAGAACAAATGGGGAAAAATAGTTTGCACTACAGAGTTTAGCGCAGGAGCTCTGTCCTTTTCTAACCACGAAATCAATCATTTGTCCAGACTGTGGGAGTCAGAGGTAGTTACTGAAAAGACTCCGTATATAAACAAGTCAATAACTCATTGTGTGTTATTGTTGAGCTGAAGAAGTCGGCTTTCAAAAAGCTGGCCCTGCTTCTCCCGGAATGAATGTCACTGTATTCAGGGGCTGGGAGAGCCTTTGTTTCTAGCCATTGCTGGCTGCCATTTATGTATGGGAACAGGAGGTGGCTGCAGGAAGAGCAAGGGAAGATACTATTCCCTAACGTGATGTCCAAGTCAAATTCTCAGTGTTGTCAGCCTAAATAGTTTGTTTCTGAAAGTGGACAATGAGACCAATAAATAACGGCCACAGAAAAATATTTGGCAAAAGAGTTGAGAGACAAATGAATCTGCAGCATCTTAAAAGATGGATCCAGACGATTCTGTAGATTTCCTACTTGTCAACAGAGATAAATCTGACATTCAGGAAATGGTTTGAAGAGTTCAAATGCACAAAATCAAACTGATGAACAGGTCAGCATGTCAAAGGAATTCTATCTGTTCTTGCTGTAAATAGAAAGGTTGATTCTTGAGACAATCAAATGGAGTTTTCAAAGGGTCTGTGTAGGGGGGCACACTCGTGTGCATGCTTGTGCACACTCACACATTCACTTGCTTCTTTATCTGTAAAGAGAAGGTATATTCAGTAGGTATCAGATTTTGGAGAGAGTAATAAAACTCGTTTAAGAAGTGATGCTGACACTTGCAATAAGGAAATTCCAATGATCTTTGATTTAAGATTAAAGGTCCTTTATAGTTCAAAATGAACTGAATTCAAAATATATAAATACTGTCAGAATTGTATTTATTTCATCTTGATGGTTGTTAAGTAGCTACCATTTAGTCAAAGATAAAATACTATGAAGAAGCACAAGAGCCAGCTTTCAGATTTATAGTTAATTTGGGTATATAACAAATGTAAGCATATCTATTTAATAAATGGTCCTTATATATTATATTATATTATATTATATTATATTATATTAATGTGTCTGATATCATCAGACAAAACCCCTTTTAGGTCAACTCTCTTTTCAAAAGATTTTTATTCATTTATTTTGGTATGGAGTTGGTGGGACCATGACATGACTTGCACATGAAGGTCAGAGGACAACTTGCAGGAGTCACCTCTCTCTTTCCATCATGTGTGCCCCAGGGAATGAACCCAAGCTATCAGGAGGTGCCATAACCCATGGAGCCATCTCTACAGCTTCCTCTTTGCTTTTAACTAGATGAAGCTGTAGGTGTAAGCAAGGAGGGAACGCAGGAAATTAACTGAATCTCATCAGTCTCACGCACACACTTGATTTAGAAAATCATGTCAGATA